AGATTCAATGCAATCCCTATCAAACTACCACTGGCATTTTTCACAGAACTAGAACAAAAAATTTCACAATTTGTATGGAAACACAAAAGGCCCCGAATAGCCAAATCAATCTTGAGAATGAAAAATGGAGCTGGAGGAATCAGGCTCCCTGACTTCAGACTATACTACAAAGCTACAGTAATCAAGACAGTATGGTACCGGCACAAAAACAGATAGATCAGTGGAACAGGATAGAAATCCCAGAGATAAACCCACACACATATAGTCACCTTATCTTTGATAAAGGAGGCAGGAATGTACAGTGGAGAAAGGACAGCCTCTTCAATAAGTGGTGCTGGGAAAACTGGACAGGTACATGAAAAGTATGAGATTAGATCACTGCCTAACACCATACACAAAAATAAGCTCAAAATGGATTAAAGACCTAAATGTAAGGCCAGAAACTATCAAACTCTTAGAGGAAAACATAGGCAGAACACTCTATGACATAAATCACAGCAAGATCCTTTTTGACCCACCTCCTAGGGAAATGGAAATAAAAACAAAAATAAACAAATGGGACCTAATGAAACTTCAAAGCAAAGCAAACCATAAACAAGACCAAAAGACAACCCTCAGAATGGGAGAAAATATTTGCAAATGAAGCAACTGACAAAGGATTAATCTCCAAAATTTATAAGCAGCTCATGTAGCTCAATAACAAAAAAACAAACAACCCAATCCAAAAATGGGCAGAAGACCTAAATAGACATTTCTCCAAAGAAGATATACAGTCTGCCAACAAACACATGAAAGAATGCTCAATATCATTAATCACTAGAGAAATGCAAATCAAAACTACAATGAGATATCATCTCACACCAGTCAGAATGGCCATCATCAAACAATCTAGAAACAATAAATGCTGGAGAGGGTGTGGAGAAAAGGGAACACTCTTGCACTGTTGGTGGGAATGTAAATTGATAGAGCCACTGTGGAGAACAGTATGGAGGTTCCTTAAAAAACTAAGAATAGAACTGCCATATGACCCAGCAATCCCACTACTGGGCATATACCCTGATAAAACCATAATTCAAAAAGAGTCATGTACCAAAATGTTCATTGCAGCTCTATTTACAATAGCCCGGAGATGGAAACAACCTAAGTGTCCATCAACAGATGAATGGATAAAGAAGATGTGGCACATATATATACAATGGAATATTACTCAGCCATAAAAAGAAACGAAATTGAGCGATTTGTAATGAGGTGGATAGACCTAGAGTCTGTCATACAGACTGAAGTAAGTCAGAAAGAGAAAGACAAATACCGTATGCTAACACATATATATGGAATTTAAGAAAAAAAAAAAAGATCATGAAGAACCTAGGGGTAAGACAGGAACAAAGACACAGACCTACTAGAGAATGGACTTGAGGATATGGGGAGGAGGAAGGGTAAGGTGTGACAAAGCGAGAGAGAGGCATGGACATATATACACTACCAAACGTAAGGTAGATAGCTAGTGGGAAGCAGCCGCATAGCACGGGGAGATCAGCTCGGTGCTTTGTGACCGCCTGGAGGGGTGGGAATGGGAGGGTGGGAGGGAGGGCGCTGCAAGAGGGAAGAGATATGGGGACATATGTATATGTATAACTGATTCACTTTGTTATAAAGCAGAAACTAACACACCATTGTAAAGCAATTATACTCCAATAAAGATGTAAATAAAATAAAATAAAATAGTTTATTCTTGTTCTCTTATTCTCTTCTGCTCCATTGCATACTTTGAGTTACTTTTTCCCTCCTCTCAAGCTGTCAGTATTATCAGCTCTCTCATATGAGTATAACACTCTACCTGGCAGGTTACAGCAAGCAAGGCAAAGACCATAAGGGCAGTCAGCTACCTGGCTTAGGCTATCGTATTTAGGGTGCAATTAAATTTGTGCTCTCATATGTTTTAGGTTGGTTGTAGATTATAACAATAAGAAATAAGAAAAAAATTGTAAGTAAAAAGAGACATGAGCAAAAAACCTTAAAATACAGCACTAAGCTATTTATTTCAATCTCCTACTGTCAATAATACATGAAAATTTCACTTTTCAAGCTGGCAAGAAAAAAAATTGAAATTCTCTGAATTGAATGCAATGAAATAAGTACACTTGTACTCTTGGGAGTAGGAGTTCTTACAACCTTTTAGGAGGCCGATTCAGTATCATTATCATTATTATTTTGTATAATTAAGGGCCTTAATGCATTCTGATTCTTTGCCTCACCAATTCTACTTCTAGGAATTTACTCTAATAATCAAAGACATATATAAAAATTTATTTACATTATTTGTAACCAGAAAAAAGTGTAGAAACAAATATCCAAAAGCAGGACAATGGTTTAGCAAATTATTGTATATCCGTATCATGGTCACTTTTAAAAATCATCTTAAAAAAAGAAGAAAATGATCATAACATACTTGGTGAAAAATGTGACTATAAAACTATGTAAGATGTTTACTCCCCTCTGGGAACTAAATTCCTTTCTCGGAAAGCCATTTGGCAATGTTTCATAAAAGTTACATTTATATGCATATGTACATATAAATATATATGCACACATGTAAAATTTATGTACATACATATATATATATTTATACCTTTTAATTCAGTAAATCAATTTCTGGTCACCTAGCCTAAGGAACTAATCCCAACAGATACAAAGATCTTTAGTAATTATTAATGATCTAATACTAAAAACATTAGAAAAGAAAGATTAATGCTTAAGCTAACAATAATAGGAAGGAGCTATTATAGGAACAATGAAGATAATGCAATAATATAAGAAGTGTCTGTAATCTGAAGAAAAGGAGGCTGAAAAGATGTTTATAGAATATAATTACAACTAGGAAAAATATGCATGCAGAGGAAGCATGACAAGTTATAAATAACTGAAAACAAAAATGCTAATGTTAGGGTGAAATGACCTTTGGGTTTTTTCTTTTTTCTAGTTTTCTCTCATTTATTGAAATTTTTCTAATAAATGTAATAAAGTGCTTAGAAAAGCATGGAAAAGGGGAAGTGACAGAAGTTTAACTGAAACACAAAGGCGCAGCTTAGAACAACTGAGAAATGAGAATCCGTGAGTCAGGAAAAAGCTCAGAAGGTAATTTCTCTGCTTCTGAAGGGAGCAATTGGATTTGAGGCTGAGTTAGTGAGGAGTATACCCAGAAAGAGGAGGATTCAGATGTCTCAAGAACCTGGGATCCTGAAAGAATACTAAGTTTGGCCTTGCAATGTGATGGTTTATTGTGGACGGGAGGAGGGGGGCAGATTAGTGTTAACACTTTTAATGCATGCCAGTCTGAGTGAAGTGGTAGATTTTAACTTGTATCCAATAGTTACAGGGTCCACGTTCAAGCTCTGCTAATGGCAGGAAAAGAGCTCTCTGTGGAGTATATACAAAGTAGGAGGTTGACAAGAGGTCCCAAAAGATATCTGAGAGCCAGAAAAAAAGCAAGAGGCAATGTCATGGTAGCCAAATTGGAAACTTTGAGCAGATGTGAGAAAAAAATACCAATATTGTACCATGAAATACCTACTCCCAGATTATCAAAAGCAGAACCAAATCAGCTGATCGTACCGACCTCGTCCTAGCCAAAAGGGAAAAACCTGAATGGAGCATGGAAGAAGGTGAAGATGGGGCCGAAAATTGCAATAAAACCCTTCATTCCAATCAAAACTTTAGCTTTCCATTTATCGAGTTTTCACAGATGGCAAAGGCCTACCTTACATAATAGGCATGATCCATCACAATAAAATAGCATTAAAAAGTTTCATGTCACAAAACAGAGCAAAGCAAATTATAGTTCCACCGGCTGAGCGGGGACTCGGAAATTCTTCCTTAACTTGATGTTTTACCATAAAAACATTAAGCACTGAATTAGTTTAATCTGTTTTTCAGACAGAGAACATGATACCAAGCCAAGATGACATAGAAGGAAACACAAAGCCCCTGGCAGTCAGTACGCTGAGACTCTACCAATAGTAGGTACAGATATGAGTTTAACCAATGGCTACCTTTAACATTAGGTGTGAACAAGAGAGGTGAACAGATTGAGTTTGATGTGTTAAGTGCTGAAGGAGGAAGAAGGGAGATGTGATGTCAGCTGACCGTCTTCCACTCCCTGTGGAAGCACCGGATGTTCTTGATTTCCACACCAGCTTCAATTGCTGTTCCCAGCACCAGCTACAGTGGGTACGAGAAATTCCTAGGGTTGTCCAGATGCCCGTGATGATTGTTATCATGCTGCTGGGGTCAGGGGTCCCTGGCTGGGAGGAGTCCAGCAGACCTTTGCAGAACTCAAGAATGTCATAGAGTTCCCAGGCATCAGAGTCTGGCCTGGTCATCCTGGGCCTCACTAACCTCGTAGACACAAAGGACTGGCAGAAAATGTACTGGTTGCCTCTCTTCAGCTCATCCTCTAGGAAGGTGATGGCTGCCAAAGCCCAGCAGTTTTCCCTCCTCAGGACGTACAATATATCGACCACGATCTTGGGTGTGATGAGGAGAAACTTACCACTGGTGGCAAGCTGCTCGATGATGGAAGATGCTCACAGAGGGCCCGAGGGTCAGGGAACAGGTACGGGGTCAAAGCTGACTGAATCTGGAGGTGCCTGAGGATCTTCTCCGGCTGCACCACTTCACTCTGAAGCCAGAGCTGAACTATGCCTTTGGAAAACCTGATCCTTGAAGTTCTCTCTAGAAGCTGCTGAGATGGGTTGTCTGGTCCTTCAAATCCAGAGCTCACAAAGACCCCCAAATTAGAGTTGAACCTCGGAACTGTCCAGGGAGTGTCGCTGCAAAGTGGCCAAAGCTTCTGAGGAAACAGATGCACAGAGCAGCTTCATCCTGGGAGCTGAGTAGAGATGGGTTTTGCTCCAAGCCAGCCGTCTCCTGGGAAGCCTACCGGGGCGAGTGCTGGCCCAGGGCAATGTCCTCGGGGAGCTGCAGGAACCTGGGAAGGTTTGGGCCCTTACAGCTCTGCAGTAGATCACGGAGATGGTGGGACAGGCCCAGGCCTGGCTCCTGAAGGTCTCCCACGGAGGGCAGCAGGTTCAGCAGCACAGACAGGGGACCCCACAGGCTAAGTGGACTCTGCCACTGTGAGGTGAGGAGGCTGTGGTTGGTGCGGAGCCAGCCTAGGATCACCTTGAGGGTGGGCAGCGGGCCCTCTGCAGAGAGGATCTGCAATTTCTTTTGAACGGTCTGGAGATTGTTGCAAGACTGGCTGATAGAGGCCTTCTGCCCCAAGTAGGAGCCAGCGGGAGGCTCTGTCTCAGGAAAGCTGCTCACACCATCCTCTGTGCCAGATGCATTGCTGAAGGCATCAGAAAACTGTGGCTGAAGACAGGAGTCAAGCGCAAGCCACGTTTTACTGGGAGCTTGTGGCTCAACGTGGCTGGCAGGTTAGCAGAACTTCCTGTTTTTAAGTGACCTAATAGACGACTGGGAGGTTGACGTGTCTTCAACTTATCCACCGGATGGGCAACTCGACCTTTGGATTTGGCCCCATGCTCCTGCATTGCTTCTGGATTCAGGGAGCCACTTTCCCCTTCATCAGTTGTGTCTGAATAAGTAGTTTCACTACTGATTTCTGAGCTGGCTTGTGAGCGTAAGGATTTGTCTTCATCTTCATCTATCTCATCTGAGTCACAGCAAGAATGAAAACTGGCTTCTGAGTTGTAACCCTCCCTGGAATCGTAAGATGGCCTGTGGTTCTTCTGAGATTTGCTGTGGTGGGGCCCAGGGCAGGGGGCTGGAAGGTCTTGTTGTTCCTGCCCAGCTTCTATCTTCTGTTGATCTTCCTTGTCCCTGGGGACATCCACGTCTGGAGTCAGCTTCCCTTTCCGGAGCTCAGCCTGGATGCGGGTAGTCACATGTTGAATTAAATGGGAGAAAAGGGTCAAGGTGAAGGTGACCACTGGCCTGTGTTGCTTCGAGCCTGTTGTCCTCAGGCTGTGCACACTCATGAGGCAAAGAACCACCATGTGGAAGATGAGGAGGTCTGGGAGGAACAGATAGCCCCTTGGGGGATTTCTCTGGAGGCTTGGCTCAGGTCGGATGGGCACGGCCTATAGGAAAGGCAGAGACGGAAGTCTTCCAGAACCAGCTGGCACAGGGCCATAAGCCTGGTTGCTTTGAATTTCCACTGAGGCTGCAAGAGGCTGTGAAGGTAGAGGAAGCTAACCAGCAGCCTTTTGTTATCCCAACACTGCCTCTGGCTGGGAGATAGCTTCTTTCTCTGGTACCTTTTCAGCTGGCTGTACCTTTTTCCCGCATGGTCATAGAATCCTTTGAGGTTCCAAGATGCCCCTTTAAAAGGCACTCCTGAGCGGAGGCAGCGCTGGTAGAAGTACGTGGCTTCAATGTCATAGTACTTACTCCCTGTGAGAGCCCCCAGCTGGTTGAAGGGCATGCCCATGTGCAGGGCCACTGACATGGCTCGGTGTAACACCTCTCCACCAAGTCCTTGGTGGCCAGGGCTGGGAACTCATTCTGAAAGTGGAACAAGTCTCCCAGGTACAGCTGACAGCGGTGGGAGGCGGTTCGCACCCAGGCCACCTCTTCTTCTGAGGCAGGACCTGCTTTCTTGCAGTCAATCAAGTGGATAACACTGTAAGGCCAATCAGTGTAGCTTAGTAACCTCAGCTCATAGTGTGCTCCTGCAGGAACAGGAAGACATGGTCATAGAACCTGAGGCTGCCCTTCAGCTGAGCCTGCAAGGGGCCTTCCCACTGTTTGAAGGTGTCCACGTGTTTTCTTTTGGTCCTCATCAGCAGCACAGCAACGTCAGAGTACATTTTCCTCCATAACAGCTCTTCTGCTTTCCTCCCATAATCCACTGGGTGAAGGAACATGAGTCTAATGCAGACTTGCTGAACTGCATCCCTGAGGGCCAGGACATGAGGCTTGAAAACCTCTTTGTGAGCATTTCCTTTTCAAAGGAGAAGGTCAAGACGCTGAGCTGCCAAGCAAACATCCTGGTGGAGGAGTCTAGCCTTCAGGGCTTCTGCCTGGCTTCTCTCCATAAGGCTGGACTCTTTTCTCATGGTGCCTATCTTCTGAGAAAGGACAAAAACTACGTATTAGTACCCACCCATAGAGACCAAAAATAATAACAATAATAGTCACCAGAGCAACACAGTGGGGATGTATAAAGCATTTTGACGTGAAGCAGGAACTTTTGCTCACACTTCAGATCTCAGTTTAAACACTGTTGCATCCAGGAGGCCAACTCTAACTCCCCAAATTAGGTTAGATGCGTCCCCTTCACACTGAGCTGGCTTCCTTTGGGTTTTGGGGACTCAACTGGTTATGGGTTTTTCTTGACTGTATTTCTCCTACCATAGCACATCCATTATCTATCATCCTTACTCTCAAACTGGACCACAGAGTTCTCTGAGGGAAAGGTTAGAGGTCAATTCACCATTTAGTTCCTAGTACCAAACGATATCTAGTTCAAGCAGAGGCTCAGTAAAGAAAAGTGAATGGATGAAGGTTGTTCCAAAAGTCAGTTCCTCAATTATCATTTTCAATTCAACAGTTATAATGTATCAAAGCACTCCATTATACTATTCAAAATACATGTCTAAGAGTGAAATAAAATGCAACGTAATCTCCTTAACTGAAAAAAAAAAAGGAAAATAATCCCTTATCAAAATTTAAATTTAATCAAGCTTGTGGATTTTTTGGAGAATTTAACCTAGATTCTATGTAGTTAAAAGTATTTGTAGTATAAATATATCTAAAGAGATATAATATTTAAATATAAATATATTAAATAATGTTTAATACAAAAGTTATAAAATTCCTTATCTCTCGGTAGAATTTGCTTTTAGACTCTCGGGATGGAGGGAAAAGAGAAATACACCTTATAATATAAACAGAATTCGTACAAAAGAAAATACAAAGTGCAAACACAAAATAAAAAATGTCTTGCTTCCTCATTCTAAAAGAAAAGCAAATTAAAGCAAACTACAAAGCAATAATTTAATTACGCCAACATAGTAAAACATATTTTAAATTATAATACACGATGCTCAAAGCCATGGTGAAACTTGTATAGACTTACACAGCTGGAAGCATTAAAAGTTTTATACATATTTTTGTTTGCAAAACCATTTATGTCCATATTCTTTATCCAGCAACCATATTCATAGGAATGACGCCTAAGGAAATAAATTTAACAAAAGCAAAAAGCTACATTAATAAGAGGTCCATTGCAAATGTATCTTTAATAAAGGAAAGGAAGGGCGGGAGGGAGGGAGGAAGGAAGGAAATTAAAATTAACCTAAATATTGTATGATCAATGAATTGCTCATACATGTCTACATGTATGATAGAAAGTCATTATGTCCATTAAATATAATAATTAATAGATATAAAAATAATAATTACTTGGAAAAAGTGGAATATGAAACAATACGTAAACTGGAAAATTACATCTTCAAAAACTAAAATGTAATGTGTAAAAATTAAGAGGTTAGCGTGATAATGACTGCAGTTTTTCCCCCCAAAGTTCCTTAATACTGCTATTGTCAGTCATTCTAATACAACTTGTTAGTTGGTACAATTTATGAATCTACATTTTTGTATGACTAGCATTTAAAAAGAGGAAAAATAATAATAATTCAGTAACTAGAATAAATAGCATTAAAATGTCAAGGACATAAAACTCATTGAATACATAGAGTATCCATAGAGCTAGAATAGCATATGAAATACCTATGATCTGTTACTAGGATGTGAAAAGTTGAATGAGGGATGGGGGGCAGAGTAAGAGAAGGAATTTGGGCAGGAGTGCAAGGAAACAGCCAGAACACAGAAGTTGAACCAGCAGTTGCCAGAGCTTTCAAAATCTCCAGAGCAAAATCTCCATCGACCAACATGAGGCTTTTCCTGGAATGGTACATAAATGGTTAGCCTGGCCTTTCTCAGTCCTGAGAAAGATGACTGAAGGAAGAGAGAGAACCTACTGAAAAAAAACACCTGGAGAAGAGAGATCTAGGTTAGATTCAAAGCCACACACACACTTTATGTAAAGGAAATTTCACTCCCTGACAAGCCTAAGAGCCAGAAGCCAGACGTTCCAAGCAAGGGAGAGAAAAAAATCTAATACCCCAAATTTATTAGACTATTTTGGGAGACACAGACTCCATTTGAAAGCCAGACGGGAAGAGGAGTGGACTGATGTCATTTTTACTGGCCTCTTCTCCCTTCCCCGTAACCTCTAACCACACCTATTGACTTCCAATGACAACCGCTGCAGCCCTTCCGGGATGGCTGTGGAAAACCCGTTGCCCAAAATAATAGGCCTACAGTCACCCAGGTTTGGACAAAGCTCACACATAGGCTTTAAGTCATCTCCCAAACCCCCAAGTTTGCCAGCTCTGATACAAGGACAGGCATAAATCTCTGAAATGAAAACGGAATGATTTTCTCACAGTTAAACATTTCCAGACTGAACAATTCCTAGGAATGGTCCATTCTCTCTGGATGAACATAAATGTGAGCTGGCTCCTGGCTGCACTTCACTCCAACACTAACATAAGACCCACATAATCACTTACTTCCCAGAACTCTGTCTTCCTTGGAGGACATTTGGATAAATTTCCCAGCAGGCTTTCCAATACAAGGCAACTCGGCACAGCTGTTCCCAGTGCTGCCAGGAACCAGTCACAAGCAATTCTGTGACATTTGGACTAAAACTCCTGAAGTCCAGAAGCTTATTTATGAGAAGAAAAACATTAAATCCCCTCCTTGAGATGGATCAAAGGAGACTCTCCTGTGTACCATGCATCTGAACTCACCGGTAAGCTCTGACCTCCAGAGCTTACTCTTGCTCAGCCTGCTGGCTCCCCAGGCTTGAATCCCACATGCTAAGCTCTCAAATCCTCTGGAACCTATTACTTTGTTGACACACCTGGATTGACTCTGCATAATTGGCCTCAGCTAGGTACACTCTGGCTAAGAAGACTGACTAAAGCTGCTTCCTCAGACAGGTAACACAGGACCAGATATAACCCTGATAGATTTGGAAAATCCATAGCCCTAAGCCATACAGAAAACTAGGTCTGGGTAAAATGTATCTCTGTGAACCAAGAGTTATACATATCTTGCATGAAAAGGATGATTAAAAGAGGCCTTCCTCCATAAAGACAGAACCATAGCTGTTTCCTCGCCTTCACTCAGTCCAATCTAGTCATAAGAACTGGTTCTCTAGAGCCTTGTATTATCACAGGACTCAAGAAATCCTTGAAACATAGCCTCGGGGAGAAAAAAAAAAAAAACTCTTGAGCAAAGAGACTGAATATAAACATGTCTTGTCCCCCTTACCCCCCTACCCTTGGTCATCCTCTGCATAGCCTAGAGTAATAGAGACTTCAATTCCTAAAGAAAAAGGGTGATCCACAGCCGGTATGGAATTATATATCTGCTTAGTTCACCAGATTTGGGATGGCTTTGGTGTTCTTTATCAAAACTCCATTCCAAACAGTTAACTAAACTGCTCAGAACCTTCCTTTAACTTCAAAGTACCATGAAGAAAATACCCCATAAGAGTTAATCCACTGACAAAATTAGATGAAATGGGAAAATTCCTGCAAAAAACAAACTACAAAAATTTACTCAAGAAAAAGTTTGAAAATCTGAGTAGATCTATAATAAGCATAAAATTGAATTAGTAATTTCTTCAATTTTTTATTGAAGTATAGTTTTGTTTCGTTTTGTTTTGGCTGCATGGCACACGGGATCTTAGTTCCCCAACCAGGGATCGAACCTGTTCCCCTTGCAGTGGAAGCACAGAGTCCTAACCACTGGACCACCAGGGAATTCACTGAATTAATAATTTTAAAACTTCCCAAAAAGTATAGCCCAGGCTCAAATGACTTCACTGATTAAGTCTATCAAGCCTTTAAAGAAGAATAAATACCAATTCTTCACAAGTTCTTTTAAAAATAGAAGAGGAGAGAATATTTCCCAACTCATTCTATGAGGTCAGTATTACCCTGATACAAAACCAGACAAAGACATCACAATAAACTACAGATGAATATTTCTTATAAATTTTGATGTAAAACTTCTCAACAAAATATTAGAAACCCAAATCTAAAACATATAAAAAAGATTATATACCATTACTAAGTGCGATTTATCCCAGGAAAGCAAATTGCTTTAACATCTGAAAGTAAATTAATGTAACACACCACATCAATATAATAGAGGGAAAGAAAATATATTATCATCTCAATAATGCAGAGAAAGCATTTGACTAAATCCAACACTGTTTCGTGATAAAAACACTCAGCAAATTTGGAATACAGGGAAACTTCCTCAGTCTTATAAAGGGCAAAACCCCACAGCTAATATCGTACTTAATAGGGAAAGACTGGATGCTTTCCCTCTAAGAGCAGGAACAAAACAAGGCTGTCCACTTTTGCCACTTCTCTTCAACATTGTACTGGAGGTTCTAGTCAGGGCAATTGGGAAAGAAAAATAAAAGGCAGATTGAAAAGAAAAGGTTAAAACTATTCCTATTTGTAGATGACATGATCTTATATATAGGAAGCCCTAGGAGACCCACAAAAATTATTAGAAGTAATAAATTAATTCAGCAAGATTGCAGGATAAAAGATCAATATACAAAAATCAATTGCACTTCTATACACTAGCAATGAACAATCTAAAATGAAATTTTAAAAACAAATGTCATTTACAATGGCGTCAAAAATATATATACATATATATATATACATACATATATATGTATATATATATACATATACACACACACACGGGAATAAAGTTAACAGAAGAAGTGCAAAACATACTCAAAAATTATAAAACATTGTTGAAAGAAATTGAAGACAAATAAATGGAAAGACATTCATATTCATGACTCAGAGGACTTAACAGTATTAGGTGAAAATACTTCCCAAATTGATCTATAGATCCAATGCAATTTTTATCAAAATCCCAGAAAACTTTTTTAATGATAATTCCTTTCCTAAAATACATGTGGAAATACAAGGGACCAAGAATAACTAAAACATCTTGAAAAAGA